TTGTTGGTGGTTGGGAAAATTAAGGTAAACTGGTACAAGATGCAAGTGTTTGAGAAGTACCACTACACGCTTGCTCTATTTAACTTTTCCACAAGCACACATCTTAAAGTCAGGCTAGGAGGCTGGCTGGACTTTTGCCCTGAGCAGCCACAGCCGGTCTCCACGCCTCCTCATCTTCCTCTGGCATTGCTCTTCTCATCCATGCCCCGAGGGAGCCGCTGGTTTTTGAGCCATGGTTCCCAGCTCGTTGGAGGTGATCGACAGCAGCTGCCTGACGGGACGCGTGGCCCTGCCCTGTCTCCCCAGCAGCGTGTTGCTGTTTGGCGTCGTGCGTCAGAAGCTCCGTGCCCGCGGCCAGCGAGAGCAGCCTGCCCTGCTCTTGAGGTCCTGTTTACAGCAGCAGGTTGCCTGCAGCTGATGTTTATTTTTGTTACCTACTGTACCACTAAGGGCAGAAGATAAAATCTCTTCAGAGAAACGTCTGATAAAGTTTCCAGTCCCTGAGTGAAAATGAAATTTTATCAAGCTTTTCAAAACACAACTGCAGATTGTCATCTTCTCTCACGTTCATCTCCCTGACTTTGCAGACTGCACGCTTGTTAGAAGCTGGCTGTCTCCTGGCCACATCTTTTCCACCTGCCCTCTCCTGTCACTGTTTCCCTGCACTATGGACCAGATCAGAGTTCAGACCATAGCTGGAGTTAGACAGCTGCAAGGTAACAAGCCTTCAGTCTCCGTTCAAGCTACCCTGCTGCAATGTGCCACAGCTGGCCTGAACAGAGAGCAGAAACAAAGCGTGCCAGTGTCTGGGAAGTAACGATGAGTGCCTGATACTTTCCCACACTATGTTTCTACATGAGCAACGGGCAAATAGTAGGAGGGAATACACAGAACCGCAGGTGGGCAGCAGTTGTGGAGGCGGTGTGACACAGGCAGGACATCTCGCTGGGGGGCTGGCGGGGAAGGCTTAGCCACGAGAAGGACATGAATAAAGCATGTTTGGCAAGGGCAGAGCGTGCAGCAGGCAAAGCTGCTGTTCTCTCACTGGGTACTCCGGTGCCCCTTGTAACAGAGTCATTCTGCTCCGTGTTTAGAAGAGTAACAAAGCAGTAATGGCGTAATGAAATAATAACTGGTTTTTTGGCCAGTTCAAGGTAGGAGTTGTATCTTGTAAGTGTAGAGACTCGTCACCTTAAGCATGATACCTAAGCTCTGTATTGAGCATCTGCCTCATGCTGTCCTTTACCTTTGATGTGTGGGAGAGAGATGTTTTAGAGAAAAGCTGGTGACAGTGCTGTCCTTTGCCTTTGATGAGAGAGAGATGTTTTAGAGAAAAGCTGGTGACAAGGAAGTCACGTGTGCTGTAATTGTGTGACGTCTGAAAATGGTTTTGTCCTTTGCAATCACAGGTCAAGATAAAAGCCCTAAAGCTACAGGGCAAAGTTTCAGAGAAAATAAAGTTCACTGGAAAAATGGACGTAGAATTACCTGTAGGGAGGTTAGGGGTAAAACTCAGTCTTATCTCTCCGGGTAATCTTGAAAAGGAAATGAGCGTGATATTGCAATGTGTAGCTAAAAAAATGAACATAGAAAGCCTTATCTCAAATGTAGTGTCTGCTGCTTGCTTTGTAGAGCTTGGAAAAAGCCTTAAAAAAGTAAAAAGGAAGCTGCTTCCCAGGAGGAGGATTTCCACCTTGCCTGGGAGCTAGCAAGAGAAAAGAGAAATAACCTTAAGCACTCTCAGTCTAAGGCTTTGTCACTGTACAGGACAGAGTCCAGAAGTCTGCAGATTTAACATCTTAAATTTTTTAAAGTGCTGCTCGCTGAGGTTTGTTAAAGATGGGATTTCTCAAGTTGCTTCCATCTTCAGTGGGTGTTCGCTGTATTTGAATCACTCATGTGATTGAAGGAGTAGCGAGGTGAGTACCCTTCGGGTTGGGCTGGTGCCCGGTGGTGACATGAAAAACCTCTTCTCAAGAAACTGCCTCATTTCCCCAGATCACAGTTTACACAATCTGCAAAGTCAAAGGAAGTGGGAGAGCAAGGGTTGATTTTTTTAGCTCGTGGAAACTCTTTTCCTTCCCTACTAGAGAGCTAAGACCCAAGCTCAACTTTGGAAAACAAAAATGCAGTGTCACAGTATGAAGCATATTGAGGTGCTTGAACACAAGCTCTGAAGAGAGGTGGATGTTTCTGTTTCTGGTACCTTGCCCTGTATTCTCCCTGGTGGAACCATGTGTGACCCTAGCAGTAAGCTCGAATGGAATTCCAGAAGAGACACTGTATTGCTGACTTTTTTTAGAATCCTCAGCTCTTTTGCTGATTTCTGTGCTTTTCTCACTGATGACTCAGTTTGGATTTTGTGCTTCTGTTTGATAGTCGACCTCCTGCTGCTGCTTAAAAAACCCTCCCTAGATCCCCTGGAGGTGCAGCTTCATGAGACGCGAGTCAGTTTAGCCGACCTCGTGCTCAGAGCAGGGTTATTTCTTCTGCCACCCCATGCACTCCCCTCGGGCTCTGAGCCAGAACCAGCACTTGCCAGACCTCTCTGTGAGCTTCTTAACTCTCTGACCTGGCAGAAATCTAACAAAGTAAGATTAAAAAAGAAAATAAAAGGCAGCTGGATAGTTTCCTGCCAAGTCAGTGAGTTAAAGCTGCTTATGGAAGAGACCAGCAACTGGCAGAGAGACCTGCTTTTCGTGGCAGTGTGCCAGCTGGTTAGCTCAGATGCGTAGGTCGCAAGCTCTGGCTGCTTTGGCACTCGCTGGGCTCTTCCGTGAGTTTGCCCCATGCACTGCCAGTCGCCATCCTTGGCCTTGTCCAAAAGTTACCACTTTTGTTCAAGGATGTGTTAATGCCTACGAACTTGGAGAACGCTGGAGTGAGGGCCACTGCTGTGGCTGCACAGCGTGTCCCGCTGCAGTACAAAACAGGACTTTGCCCAGAGAGCTGAGAAGATGGGCATGGGGCAGAGCCTGGGGGTTTTCCGGAGGCTTAGGAGATGGAGGCTGCGCCCTGGGCTTCCTTCTTCCCCCTTGCTGCCAGGGCAGGCAGCCCTGCTGTGTGGGCCCGGGCTCGCTTTGCACACATGGTCTATCGGTTCCTACCCGTGCAGGGTGCCATGGCCCGCAGTCCCCTCCTGCGGAGAAGGGAGCCAGGTGAGCATCCAGCTGGATAACCCCAGCTGCCTTATTCTCTTGCCTGTCTCTAGTGCAGGCAGGTCACTGCTGCTTTGCAGGTTCTCCAGCTTTTCTCCACGTGCACAGTGCAACAGCTGCGTGCAAGTAAAACCCAAGCCCTTTCTGAGGACGAGGGCAGTCAGAGGTGTCATTTGTCCTTCAAAGTCAAGCTGGAGAAGGCTTTACACTACCTCAGGCGATTTGGCTGCAGCAGCATGCTGCTGTTGCCATGCTTCTAACGGAAGGGGAGAGGCTTTGGGGCTCCCGGAAAGACATACAGCTGAGAGGAGCAGGATCCTTCACTGCAAGAACCAAGTCAGTCTCGCCCACAGCCAGCCCTTGGGAGTGCCCAGAAAGGAGGGGCAAGGTGAATTTCTGATGTGCTGCAAGCCAGGTTCCTGTCCTGTGTTTGGTCTAATCACTTTCAGGTTATTGGAAATTATTGTTTAAAAAAAAATTCACATACTTTGTGTAAACTAGCGAAAAATTTTTTTGAGGTTGTAATGTCCTGTCTTCAGGCTGAACCATGAGGCTATTCCCTAAGCAGATATTTTTTTAATATCAAGAAAATAATTGGTGCTTTTTGCAGTGTCTGTAGGTCAGAGCGTGTCTCTCCTTTGACTTCTGTAGATGAGAGATGACACTGTATTCCCAGCCTTACTGCTATCTCCACGGCTTTTCCAAACTCCCTAGTTATCCCAGATCAGTGTTTGTCTAAATGTGTTTGCAGCTATTTCGGTTAAGCTCAGACAGCTTTGTGGGTGCTTCTGTGTTCATCATCATGACGTTGTGGCTTCTGTTTCTGCAGCGGACAAGTATTGGAGAGGTACCCAGAGACCTCATTGTCCTCTTGCTCTCTTATGCAAGGCACAGTGCAAAAAGCCCTCAGTATTTAGCATGGGAAAAGGCACGTAGTTTTGCTGGCAAATAATAATGAACCAGGTCGTGAAACTGCTCCACTGATACCCAGCTGGAAACCAGCATAACCTCCTGTATCTGTGCCAGCTGCTGGAGCAGCCTGCAGGGGTTTTACTGTCACGTTACCAAACCCGGTAGCAGGGAAGAAGTGTTCAGTTAAGGCGCAGTGCTCAGCCGTCCCTGGGGTGACAGGTCAGCAAACGCAGCAGCGTGGTCAGGATCTGATGGACTCTTGGCCAAATGGCCCGGGTGGGGCTGCGGCAGACAGGCAGCCTGGCAGAACAGCTAGGTGGGGGTCTGTATCTTTCGTTTTTAATGCTGTTGAAAGGAAAAGCTGCCACCCGGCTCCCCTGTGCCACTCACCTCCCAGGCAGCCAGTGACTGGATCTGCAGAGCTGGGGTCTCCTTGCTGTCCCAGCCATCTCGCTGCTCTGTGTTGTCCTACTGCTTCCAAAACACTCTGGTACACGGTCCCCAGGTGCTGGGTCTGCTGCCAGCCTCTCGGACACTGCTGTGTCCCCTCACATCAGCTTGCCCACGGGCAGGATGTTCCCAGGGGGTGGGAGGGTGTGGGTTGGAGGCACACTAAAAGAGACTTGTGGGCTGGTGGGTTGGAGGGAGAGCTGGGGAGCGAGGGCGAGCAACGTCACTAAAGGCATTGAAATGAGATCTTGGTCATGGGAAGACAGCCCCAAACCCTTCACACATCTGTAGAAAAGTAGCCTGCTTCTGGCAGTGGTTGGGGAGAGAGATTTGACAGGGTTGCAGCTTGCAAGAGCTGTGCTGAGCCACCAGCTGTGAATAGGAGGCCAGTGCTCAAGTGTGGAGGAGGCCCTTGCTGCTGGCCCTCGGTGAGGGGTCTCCGTAGTGCAGACAGCACTGAGGTTTGTTCTTCTCTCTCTGCAGGAACATGACATTGAGACAGCTTTCGGAGTGGTCCATGTCACCATGCGGGGCACACCCAAGGGGAACAGACCTGTCATCCTCACGTACCATGACATTGGCCTCAACCGTAAGCCTTTGCCCTCCCAGGACCCTGAAAAAGCGGTTGTTCATGGTATTTGCTTTTGAGTGTGGGGACCAGCAGGACTGGCCTGGAGCTGAGATGAGACAGGTCTTCCCAGGGTAAAAAGATAAAGGTCTGCAGGAGAGAGAGCGTGTGGCATGCCCCTGTCTGTTCCGTTGAAAAGTAGGGCCGAGGTGGAAGGGTGGAAATAGGTCCACCCACCACACTATGGTGCTGTGGCTGACTCATGGCACTGTGTGATGGAGCTGCCACAAGGCATCTGTTCCTGGGTGCTGGGCAGGTGAGCAAGTGCCTTCCACAAGGCTGCAGAAGTAGCGTAATGTTTCTGGCGGGCTCAGTTGCTCCTTTTCACATGTCTTCCCACCCAACATGTGCTGTTGTGTTCATGCAGGTGCACCTCAGTACGTACCCAAGTGCTGCAAGGCCGTATTTTCCTGGGCATGCATGCTGGGGGGTCGTTTCTCCAGTTGTGGCAGTTTGCTAGGACTCGCTGCTGCGTTGCAGTCGGAGGCGCAGTGGCGTGCATCACCTGGCACCCACTGCCCTGCGGTCTCAGCAGAGGGTTTGGTCCCGTGTGCCACGGTGTTGGGAGGGTGGATCGCAATAAAACTTCAGGAAGTGTCTCATTTCTGTTTTTTTTTTGTTGTAGACAAATCCTGTTTTAGCGCATTCTTTAACTTCGAAGACATGCAAGAGATCACTCAGCATTTTGCAGTGTGCCACGTGGATGCACCAGGCCAGCAGGAAGGAGCCCCCCCATTCCCATCTGGGTAAGAGCTCTGCAGAGACCCTTGTTCCACTTGTGATCTGGGCTGCAGTCTGGACTGAGGTAGCACCCAGTTTAAGCCAACTGGGACTGCCAGGCTGAGTGTAGTGGGAGGCAGCTTTCAGGAGCAGAGGAAATGGGAAGATGAGGGGGCTTCCCAAGGGGCATTCAGGGAACTCTCCTGTTACTGAGGCATGGGTAAAGCCATCACTAGTGATGAGTGCTGGTACCAGCTTTCTGACTTGAGCATGAGCCCAGCAGTCTGCAGTCTAGCTGGCATTCCTTGCTTCCTCTGTCCATCCTCCCACAGAAATCTGTCTGCCCAAAAAAACACAGCTCTGTGTTACTCTGAGGGACGGCATCCATGCAGTTGGCTGGAATATACAGTATCATTGCAAAATGATCACCTATGCAAATGCCTGTCAGATGTGCCTTGTCTCTCCTACCTTTGGTAGAAGTGGAAGATAATCCCTGTTGAGCAGTATTTGGAGGGGCTTTGATTTCACTCTCTTGGTTTTCAGGTACCAGTATCCCAGTATGGATGAACTGGCTGAAATGCTGCCCGCTGTTCTGACGCACCTGAAGTAAGTCTCTGAAAGGAAATGGGGTGAGCCAGCTGGATACAGCCATTCCAGCACCTGCCTCTCTCTATCTCTGCTTGCAACATCTGATATGCTCACAGAGTTGTCCCAAGAGGCATGAGCATCTCCTAACCTGTGTAACCCTGTCTGATTCTTATGCTGGGAACATTGTCTGCCGCAGTTTATGGCTGCTGCATCATTGCTGAATCATTCTGGAAATGAACCATAAGTGAACAGCTGGATGCAGAGAGGGGAAGGGCTTTGCCTCTAGGGATGCTTCAGCTGTGAGCTTAAGTTAGCCTTGCTGATTGTGGAATGCCTATATTTCAGCCTGAAAAGCTTCATTGGGATTGGACTGGGAGCTGGTGCTTATGTCCTCAGCAGGTGTGCAGTAAGTATCTCTTCATTTCCTTGTGACTTGTATAAGCTGTGGTCTTCCACTGATCAAACAGACCGTTTGTGGGGCACCGGCGAAGTAGCAGTAATTACAGTAGGCCTGCAGGGAGCCATGTGAGAGTTACTTCACATCCAGATGGTTAAACTGGAGCAGCCAAGGCTGCTCTGAAGCTATGCCAGGCATGGAAAGATTGTAATGTGATGTCTTTGAGTCAGGAGAGCCCATCCTGGCTGCTAGGAATATCCAGCCTCATGTTTTCCCAAAGACTGGCTGCATTGCTGTATGCTGTTTGCGGTGTTTGTGACGCCAAACGATCGATTCAGTGATGTGCTGAGAACCAGTGCTGATGAGGAACGTGCTTTTTCACTGGAAGGAAGTAGATTTTTCACTTCACCCTTTGACAAGAGTGCTAGCTTTGTGGTACTTGCTTTTTCATTTCTCTCTAGTGGAGTGTTTATAAGCACGTGAAATCAGTGGACATAGTTTAGCAGTCCAGGAATTTGCCTGAGTCTTTCCAAGTTAACGTTAAAAAAAAAAAAACAACCAGAAATCTGACGTTCTGAGTAAAGTTTGCTTCATGTTGTTGAGTGCAGAGAGTTGCCGATGATTTAGGCCACTTACTGCTTCTTAAAGCCACTTCACTATGCAGCTGCCCCTCCTACAAAAAGTTCTCTGCTTCCCATTTCCTCCAGTCAGGGTTGAGCCTGGGGCAGCGTGAGGCACTGGGGTTTGCTCTGTTCCTTGGGTAGTTTTCAGTCTTGAAAATAATCCTTGGCCTCCACTCAGTGAAGTGCCAGAAGGTCCTGGCCGTGCTACCTGGATTGCAGACAGTTTCCCGCTGAGGACAGGGTTGTTCCCTTCTGCTTAGCCAGTGCTAAAGCGTAAAGCAGAGCAGAAGAGCTGCTGTGAATTTTCAGCTGCAGAGTGACCCTGGAGCTCAGAATTCTCTGGTCGTCTTAGATTGCTGTGCTTGTGTTTGCAAGCAGTTCCCAAACTCTTTTGTGCCTGTGCTCCCCACAGCGCACACCCCAAGGCACACTGCAGGGTGCTGGGGATGCCGGGCTGGAGCAGGGACAGGGGTGGCTGTGGGCTGGGGGGGGCAGTGGGGGTGCCCTCTGGTCAGCCAGGTGCCCCTCAGCTGGAGCTTCCCAGGCCTCTGCTCAAGCTGCAGGTGCTTGTGGGTCTCAGCACCAACTCCTGTGCCATTTGCCAAATCTTGCCATTTTTCCACATCTCCACTGGGAGGCTGCCTCTGCCTTGAGGGGTGGAAGGGAGGTGCTCTCTGGGCACCTCTCCGAGTTTGTCCAGGTCCTCCCTGGAGGTGCTACATGTGAGCAGAGAGAGTCACTGCTCACAGCCCTGTAACACACGGGAGCCTGAGCAGGACCTGTGGCCGCACCAGGTGCGTGGGTCACCAGGCACTGTGTGAGCAGTCGGTCCCTCAGTGCCAACAACTGAGGTCGGGCTGAGAGCCAGCTTTGGGCCAGGCTCTGAAAAGGCCACTGGCTGCCTGGCACAGAAGGAACTCCCCACTTAGTCTTCATTTTACTCTTGTCTTCCTTTTGCAAGAAGCTTTCCAGCTGCTGCGCCTGCCATTGACCAACACGTGGACTGAATCATCCTGTGTTCTCTCCCCACAGCTCAGCCACCCTGACCTGGTGGAGGGACTCGTTCTTATTAATGTTGATCCATGTGCAAAGGGCTGGATTGACTGGGCAGCATCCAAGGTGAGATTCTCCTTCCACTGCAAATCTCCTCTCCACAGTGCTCAATGAACAGTGAGTAGAGTAGGAAGAAAAAGGACAGAGTACGGGGAATTGTCCGTTTATGGCAAAAGCTGTACAGTCCCATCTCTGTCCCTGCTGCCTTCTCAGTCTGGTTGTAGTGTGGGCTCCACCGTAGGAGCAGGGGTGGGCGTGATCATGTGTGAATGGGGAAGCCTGGTGAACTGCTCGGAGATGAGTGGCTGTGGAGCACTCGGCTTTCCTCTGGTTTAGTGCTCATGCTTGCGGGCTGCATTTGGCGGAGTTTGAATGGATCTTTTAATTATTCTGTTATTCTGGCCTCTTGCAGTTATTCAGGGTTCCAAGTTTCTGGACAGCTGTGTGTTGTGTTTGCACACGTTTCTTTCGTGCCTTGCATGCCCATCCCAAGCTTCAGGCATTTGTTTCTCATATCACTTCAATAGTTTCTTTGTTATTTTCTCTGCTCTGAGGAGCTGCTTCGAAATTTGTAATGAAACTGCATTTTCTGGTTACTCTCCCTCCTCCTCATTCATGATCACTATTCAGTTTTCAGGCTGGACAACCAACATAGTGGATATTGTCTTGGCGCATCATTTTGGCCATGTAAGTACCCAGCAGGTGTTAATGTTGTCCGTGCAACTGTACATAGAGCTGTAGCTTGTGTATGTACCTGCTCTGAAATAGCTCTGCTCCCTCACATGAGGGCTGCCACAGGTAGCACTATGGTCTCTGTGTGGCAAGCTCGCGTCAGAGCTTTGCACACCGCAGTGTGCGTGCACATCCTCACGCTTGCTCTGTCTCCAGACTCCACGCAGTAAGGAAGTAGTGTCCCGCACACTAGTGCTAGAACTCCTGTCTTTGTGGTGCCCGGGCAACTGTCTGCAGAAACAAGTGACAGCTGGTTCTCTGTAGCCAGCATGGAAGTATTTGGAATGTGGGTAGATCAGCTGGGAGTTGACAGTGGGATTATTGTATGTGTCCAGACGTTGAACTTCTACATTCTGCTCTTCTTCTTCCCCTTCCTTCAGTTTCAGCAGAGGCAAACCAGCCCCTCCTGAAAACTTTGGATACAGCAATACCTTCTGTTTGAGATTTGCTGGCTCCCAACCAGCAAGCTTACTGGGTGACCGAAAGGGTCTGTGCCTCATGCACGCAGAGGCACATGTGACAGATCAGTCCCTGACCTGAAGCCCTCCTGCGACAGCACACATCAGCATGGAAGGGCGTCACATAACTTCCTCCTGCTTAGAGCACATGCTGTTCTGACCCCACTTTCAAGCCCCTCCATTATATACAGTGCTTCCTTGCATTCCCTTTTCTCTCTGTCTCTCTTTAGCTCTCACTGGAATGCACTTTCTGCATAGAACTGGATGTTGGGATTAGATTTTCCTTTTGTCACAGTCTTGGGGCATAAAGCTTTGCTTCTTCAATATTAAGCCGAAGACGTTCCTAAACTGGAGTGATCTGTGTCTGTGTAAGCATTATTGAGGCTCAGGAGCTAACTTGTCCCACCTCAGGATACCTTTGTACTCCTGCAGCTGCACGTGCACTGGGCACTGCCGTTTGTAAAAGTGTAGTCACGTTACCCAGGTATGGCACTGAACAGTCGTGTGACAGAAACAGGTAATGTAGCCTGGGTGCTAATGCAGTCTGGAGTTGCTGCCCTCTGTGGTGGTGTTCACAGTGGAACCATGTGTATGGAGACAGTTTAATGCCCCGGTATTTTTATGAGTATCATTTCTTTACTGGTGAAAAAGATGATGTTCTCTGTCTTCCAATTCTTCTGCTTTTTTCCAGGAGGAACTGCAGGCAAATCTAGATTTGATCCAAACATACAGGCTTCATATCGCACAGGACATTAACCAAGACAACCTCCAGCTGTTCCTCACGTCATACAACAGGTACAGGATACCTTTTTGCCTGCTAGGTTGCTCCCATAGCTTCACAGAATCACAGAATCACAGAATGTCAGGGATTGGAAGGGACCTCAAGGGATCATCTGGTCCAATCCCCCTGCCGGAGCAGGACCCCCTAGATCAGATCACACAAGAACGTGTCCAGGTGGGTTTTGAACATCTCCAGAGAAGGAGACTCCACAACCTCTCTGGGCAGCCTGTTCCAGTGCTCTGTTACCCTTACTACTACCTTACTACTGAATCTACTTCCATGCTCAGTAGATTTGCTGCCATATGTATTATTCTATTGGGTGTCGTGTTGTATAAGCCTTTGTCCTAAGCCTCGTCTTCAGCCATTATCCTGAGCCAAGCTCGGCCTCATGCCTGGGTGACCCTATCACACCTCAGTAGATCGTCTATCTGGGTACACAGCAAGCTTTCCCTGAGAGCACAGATCCTGTTTTCTGGCAGTTACTGCTGGGGCTCCTGCTCATGGCATGACACAGGGAGTGATAACCTGTTGCCTGGGTGCTGGAGCCAGCACTCCTGGTTGGATTTTGTATGCTCCCACGATAACTAGTTTCCTCTGCTGATTCGATGGAGAATTGTTCTGTTTTGTGTTTCAGTCGTAGAGACCTGGAAATTGAGAGACCAGTTCTTGGCATCAATGAAAATACTGCAAAAACACTCAAGTAAGTTGCTCTGAATCAGCCTGTATCAGTTAGTACTGCGCAGTCCCTTCAGCAGAAAAGCTGTTGCTGCTTCTCAGCAAGAACCCCACAAGCCCAAGTGCTGGGAGGACTGTTCAGCCTGTCACAGGCTTTGGTGCAGTGCTGTCAGCCCGGGTGAGGCAGAGAGGTGTCCGGAAGCCCTTTCATTAAGAACACACTGAGATCCTCCAGAGGCAAGGTCAGAGGAGTAAGTGTATCCGCCCAGCAGTCACTGCTCTTGCTGAGCTGTTAGTTTGGTTGTTTTGCATGAAAAATTAGAGAGGCTGGTTTTTGTTTGTTGCCTTCCCCCACCGTGCCAAAAATTCACCTGCACAGTTCTCCTAGAGAAGCAGTGGGTTCTGAATGCAGAGAACGCAGGGGTGTTTTCCCACCTTGGCAGCAACTCTTTCATCTGGGAGGGAACAGTCTGTGCAGGGTACAGCTGAGACGGGGCAGACACTGGAGAACTCGTGATAATCAGCACAGGGGAAGTATAAATAAATTTTCAGATTCCAAACAAGAAGGCAAAAAGGGCAGATGTGTAGAGCACACGAAGACTGTGAATTGCAGTGCAGAGGCAGGCTGCCTGGGCTGGGCTAGAGACTGCTGCCCAGGTTCTGCTGCTTGCTCTTTGGAAATTGTATGGACTTTTGCTCCTGCCAGTCCCAGGAATTTTTTTAGGCATCCACAGCCAAACCCTCTAGGTCCTGGCTAACCTAAAAGAGGTGGATTCCCCTGCTTTGTCTCCAGGCAAAGCCAGTCGTACTGCTCTCTGTCATGCAGCCAGCTGTAAGTCACAGAGCACTGTCTGTCCATTCAAGGGACTCACAGGGATCTGCAGACCCTTAAAATATTTGGATATGAAGGCACAGATTTACCAACAGAGGCTTTGATATCGTGACATTTTTCAATATATTCCCTGACATCTTTTGTGTTTCTTTCTAAAATCCAAACTAAAGTACAGTGGTGAGCAGTAGCCAGCCTCAGAAGCATTAAACTCTGTTGGATGTGGTTGTTCCTAAATTCCTAACAGACGTCCATTTCAGAGAGCTTGCTTCCTTTGGCAGCCTGGGACGGTGTTTCTCCCAGCCCTAGGCACAGCTTTTAACGTGTGCAGCAGTAGTGGTAGTCGGTGTGCACGGAGGGGACAGGAGGGGTGCGTGTGCAAGCCCTGAGGGATGTTTTGGTGCAACAAAATGCCATGATATGGTGGCAGGTAGGGGTTTTGTTGAGCATTATTAACCTTTCATGAGGCTGTTGATTCACAGAGCTCAACTGTCTGAGAAATCCCTTAGATGCACTGTGAGTAACATCTCTCTGTTTTGGGCTTTGACCAGGTGCCCTGCCTTGCTAGTGGTTGGTGACAACTCACCTGCCGTGGATGCAGTGGTACGTATATGTGAACTCTTTCTTCTGACATGAGCCCCACGGATCACTCAGCAAACCTGCCTCACCCAGCAGTGCTGTCACCTTGCCCACAAGTAGTCACAGAAATTGGCCCTTTTCTAGTGCCCTGGCTACTGAGACCTGTCAGCCACCAGTGGGGGAGCTGAGGCTTGGGAGGCTTAATGGCCCCTGCAGGGCAGCTCTGAGGAGCGGGTGACAGGATCTGAGTAAGAGTCCTTATGCCCAGGCCAAGTGGTGCAGAGGACCTCTTTCAGGAGCTAGCGTCTTTGCCTGAGCTCTGCCTGGAGTTCAGTTCGAGTCATGAATTACTGTTCTCTTGCTGTTGTACTGAGGCTACGTGGGGTTTAAAAACAAGCAGTGTGACTCTGGTTCCTGTGGTGGGAGGTCACAGAGTTCTGCAAAAGCACCGTATCGTAGGGAAGGCGACATTCAGAAGCATCTCCTTCCTGTTGGTCTCTGCAGACCCCTATAACCCGCTTCTCTCCCAGCACAGTTCCAGATGGGGCATGGTGCAGTGCAGCATGGTTGCAGTGGATGTTGCCTCTCCCCCTCGACCAGGGATTGTGGGGAGACCAGGGGGTTGTGAACGAAAGAAGTTGTCTTAAGAAACCATGGAAGAGTGTAGGGGTCTCCTAAAGCAGTAGCTTGAACCTAAGAGCTGTGCATGGAGAACTGCTGCAGGGCTTTTTCTGGTCATGGCCTGTTGCCTTTTCATCAGTCTGTTTGGTCTGGAAGTCTGAGACATTCTCCAAGTCTTGTCTTTGCTAGGATAATATTCCTGAGGTTTCTTATTGCTTTGCTTGGGATTGGAATAGGATCTTTTGGATCTCGGCTTACCTATCTTGTTGCCCAGATTCCTGGCACATAACGATCTCCTCTGCTGGGGTTGCTTTTCCTATAGGGCCCCCACCTATTCCCTTTTTGTAGCAGCCTTACAGAGAAGAAGTGGCTGTGGCCTCCTTGTCTGGCCAGGGGATTGAGTGATCTCTCGCCGTGCTGCACTGCACGGAAGTGTCCTTCCCTCCCAGTCTTGCTGTCAGAGCCCCGTGGTGCATCCCCAAAACCAGGGGATGATTTCTCTTGAAGTCACAGCCCTGTCTCTCAGAACAGTGACATTCTGCCATCGCAAGGTCCCCTTGGGTGGGAACACCTGCCTTTCCTCTCTGCATCTTTCATTCATTGTTCTCTTCCTACATGCTCTCTGCTTTCTTGCTCAGTCCTTCTTGGCCCCAGAGAAGCTCCCATTGCTGAAGACAGCCACCACCTGGTGCAACTGCCCTGCATTTTACATCTGACTCTTCAAGTTTTCCGTGTGATATCATGTCCCTCTTCCCTCTTTTTATTTAGGTTGAATGCAATTCACGTCTTGACCCAACCAAAACTACCCTTCTGAAGGTGAGTGCCACTCCAGAATCACTCCAGCCTGCACAAAGACATTATTTTTGCTGAGACCAGCTCCACTTAGGTTTTTGCCTTCCACACATTTAGCTTTAAGAACTTTGTGGACAGTCATACAGGGCTGTGTTCTCTCCTGTGTGGAGCCAGACTCGGGAGAGAATTGTTTGTCAGGGGATCCCTGAATCCCTGCTTTATGGCCACTTCTCTGTTGTCTTCAGCCAGCAGGGAAGAGTTAGCAGAGGTGCCCTGCCTCCACTCTGCTCTCTGCCAGCAGCAACATCACTTTTTCAGGCTTTATACCAGTCTCCCATCCTCACCTGTGCTCTGCTCTGTGCCAGACAGCAGCTGTGTAGAAGCATAAAGTGACAGGTTTGGGACGAGTGGCAGGGGGAGCGAGGGCGGTGGAGGGTTACTCCTGAGCTTCTGGAGCAGGGCCTGAGATCGCCTGGTCACGCAGCGGTGTGGGGTCCCCTCAGCGACAGGCTCCCAGAAGACACGTCACCAGGCATAGCTTCGGCTGTAGGGACACGATGGTAGAAGTGTGCCTCCTGGAGCAGCGCAGCCTGGTGCCGTCGGTGGGGTGGGCAGTGCTGGCACAGTTGTGGGGCTGTCCTCCTGGGGTGGGAAGGATGGTTCAACCTCCCTGTTGTTTCCCGTTGCAGATGGCCGACTGCGGGGGCCTGCCCCAGGTGGTTCAGGTGAGGAACGCCTCTCGCCAGTCCCGCGGCGTTTCGGTTGTGCAGGGCCCCTTGCTCTGCTCGCCCTAAAGCCTCACCTTCTCTTTCCACAGCCCGGCAAGCTGACTGAAGCCTTCAAGTACTTCGTGCAGGGAATGGGCTACAGTAAGTGGCAAACAAAATTTTCTGGTTTGGAGCAGGGTTGTTGTGAAGGGAATTCAGCCTTTCTGGTCCATCTGAGCCCATTGGCATCTGTGTCCCCACCTGTGAGTTAGTGTGGTTGTCAGGAGGTCCCTCCATGCTGGAAAATCCACTAGTGTGGTAACAAGCCTTAGCAAACCAGTGTTGTTCCCTCACCTGTGTTTAATCCGCACTGCAGCTGGAGTGGTGATGCCTCTTTGAGTGCTGGTGTTGGTAAAACCTTGTAAGTCCGTCTTTGTGCCAGTCCAGAAAGGCGTGCTCCCAAGAACAGTAAATCTTCTGGAATGTGTGCATACCTTCTCCGGAGGGAAGGAGTCAGCAGTGCAACCTCGAGGTGATGTGTACATGAGAGCTCTTTCCTTTTCCTCAGACATACCTATTTCTTTCAGACTCCCCAGGGGTAAGGGATATCTCAGGATGAAACCCTGAAATGGCAGAACAGAGAGCTGGGTGACTTCTGAGACACCCAGGGAGCCCAGGGGCAGCTGTGCTTTGATCCAGTGCATGGCCTATGGCTTCCTCCTGTGCCTGAAGGCAGAAGACCTTGTGTCCTGAGCGTGTCAGGCTGACAGCTGTTCAGGTCCCCTGCCCCTGGTACTCCAGAGACTGGGGGACTTCAGGAGAAGGTCTTCTCAGTACCCTAAAGCGACTCTGCCTCCACTGCAGGCACCTTGGCACAGCTCTGTCTTGCCTGCCAGACGCCAGGGCTAGGAGTTCCCTTGTGCGGGCGATGAATCTTCAAAAGCTGAAATTATGAGAGGGGTTGGTTCTTGTGACTGGTTAACCACCAGCATGGCCACAGTGGCAGCTGTGACACTCCCAATGGTCTCCACATGGCCAGAAGTTTTTTGCCAACTCATGGGCATCAGGGCTCAGAGAAGCTGTCCTTTTCTTTAGAGCTATGTGCGGTTGACATGAACATAGTAGGACATGTGTGTTCTCCAGGGCTGGCCAGAAGAGCCTGGTCCTGCAGAGCAGGGTCCTGTGTGAGAAGGCCCCCAGATGTGAACATTTCAGTGTTCACATCTCTTCTGTCCTGGTGTTAGTAAAGTCAGCAAGCGCTGTTGTCAGAGCAGGGACTTCAGCAGCACTTTCAGGGTCAGATCTCTTGCAAATGAGATGCACAGCACTGGGGAAGGACAGGGAGTAATTTTCCACTTCGAGAAGTAGTAGCTAGTCCCAGAATGGTTTTCCCAACTGTGTTGGCACTGCTGAGCTTGGCCAGCAGGGCCTCCCTCTCTCAGGGAGAATGAGAGAAGCAAATCAGCAGGTTGCCTTTTCTAGAAATGCACAAGCCAGTTCCTCAACAGCTGTTCCTGATCCTTCTCCACACTGGACCTGCCTGTGCTGACACTGTGGGTGGAAGGTAATGCCTTGCAGGAGGCTCAGAGCAGAAACCTGATGCTGTTGACTCGAGGAAAGACGGGAATTTCAGTTCCATATCTGGAGTTGCAGAGTATCCCTCAGTTTCCGTGCCGTAGGAAAATGACATCTCTGTTGGGCCATTGTTGTGTGTCCGGTGGGGAGGCAGGGCCACCAGGTACATTGCAATTTCAAACTAAAGGCAGTGAAGAGATCCGGCCCTGATGAATTTTGGGTCAGTTTGGTCCCTGAGATGCTGATCAGCAGCTGTTTCCACAAGTATTGGGAGCTTTCAGCACAGTGTGTGAGCTGGGAGTGGAAGGCAAGGTAGCTGGGGATCCCAGGAGCAGTGCAGCTGCTCGTCGCACACCGCAACTAATTGGCTCTTTCCTGTATTCATCCCTTTCCTTGTCTCGTGTTGTTTCCAGTCCCTTATGTGCAGCTCAGCCACCTAAGCACTGAGTCAGGTACCTTCAACTGTGCATCCACCTCAGCCCCAGTCTGTGTGCTGGGTTGAATGGTTCCTCGGGTGCATTGCTGTGTCTCAGCATGTCCTGCTGGCCTGCTGCGAGCTGGGCTGATCGTTGTACCGCGTGCGTGCTATGGTTTCCACCTTTCATTTGTATTTCGTTGGTTGTTGCATGACTTCAGCTCTGTGGTTTTCCGGAGTGACGAGACTGACTTTCAAAAGGTCATGGGTGCAACAGCTGCCTGGGTTTGCACAGACGCTCACCGGGACTGCACTCGCAAATGATCGGTTACACCTCTGGCGTTTGCTCACTTTGGACCTTTTGAAATTGGGCCTTAAACATCTTGCTTTAGACGTGCAAAGACTTAATTTTGGCAGTGAAGAGTGAGTTTTCTTCCCAAGGGTATAGCTCTTTTTGTGCTTACCCGGTGATACGTATCTGAGTGACTGTGATGCGTGCTCTAGGAACTTCCTCCTTTACTGAGTCCCACCTTTGTTGTCTCTTGCAGTGCCAGCAGCCAGTATGACCAGGCTGATGCGCTCCCGTACTCACTCCTCCTCTAGCGTGGGCTCTGGAGAGAGCATCCGCAGCCGATCTCACACCAGCAACCATGGTGAAGGAAGTGCTGGAACCCCAGAAGGAATTGACCTCCAGGATTCACCTCAAACCATGGAAGTGTCCTGTTAGGCAGGAGCCCCTCTTCGGGATTCAGACAACTCCACTGGCCCCCACTGAACCCACTCAGAATCTAACATTTCATCCAACATGGCATTAACTGTTCTCTCTAACTTGTGCATGCCCATCCGAGCTGCCACCTCCTTGGTAGTCTGTACTTGGCATTACTTCGGTCCTTTCTGTATGCCCGTGGCATCAGAGCCTCTTTAAAACTCGTTAACATTCCGCGGTCTTAGTAAGTCACGTACATGCTGTACGTACATGCCGTACGCGCTGATGCCATCTCCTGTCTGTGCTGTATATCAGTCCAGATGACAGCCGTTGTCTCCCCTGTTCATTTAAATATAATTTCTGTGGCTTTGTGAGGTTTAGAATTGCTTTCTAGTTGTGCTTCTGCTAAAGGACCCTTGTGGTGCAGTTGGTGTGGCATCTGTGGGACGTGCGAAAGCAAGACCATGATGGTGTGAAACTCCAGGCTCTGGAGCAGGCTGTGCTCTTTGGCAGAGCTGTGCCTGGAGTGCAGAACCCACCAGAAGGTCTTTGTGTTCCCAGGACTCTTGGCATGACAGGCAGCCGTGGGGAAAACAAATGGTCAGAAATACTGCCTTGGTCTCACCTCTGTGTGTGTGCTAAGAAGGAGCAGAGTGATTTCTTACCTGAGCCTCCTGAAAGGGCAAAGCGATTAACACGTGAGCTTGCGCTCACCGCGGCGCGCTGTTAACCGAGTCCAAGGGATTGACCTGCAGCAGCCCTGGCTGCCAGACCCTCTGCTGACCCCCTGCTCTCCGGCAGGAGGGCCCGATGCAGTTAACACCTAGTCACTGTTCCACCCTGGCACGGGTCAGTCTTTAACATCAAGTAGGTTGTGAAATGGGCAGCAGCACCCCTTGCCAGGTGGAGATCCAGAAATCTCCTGCACTGCCAGCTCTGCTTCCCGCTGCTGCCAGGCACAGGCAGGGTGCCTGCACAGGGTGTTAATAGGCTCAGGAAGTACTGGAGAAGGTGAATGACTGCCAGCAGACGCATGTTCGTGCGAGTCAGGTCAGGAGTGTGAGAAGTGAACACCTCGGTGCAGGGACTATTTACTGTCTTCGTGGAATTCGCAATTCTGCTGCCTTCTTACAGCTGGCCGGGTCACAGAGGCCAGGGGGCAAATGCCTGCTGCATGCCAGGGTCTAGCTGGTAATGGGAGAAAAGGGATGAGTAGTCAGGCTACTACAGGTCTCGATAGATGAGCAAAACATCCTTTCTTAACTGTTGAGCAGTCCTGACTCACTGGGAGCCAGCTCCTCTGAGGGTCACGCTCACGTTCTGCTCCATTTCAGGTAGGGAATGGGACTGGGAGGCTCTGCCTGAGGGGGACTTTGTACCAGTTATTAAATAAAGCTATAACTGAGTTTCATTGTTACTCTGCGTGCTCGTGGTGTTTCTCTTGGCACGACCCAACACTCCTGCTGGTTTGGTCAGTTCTGGTGTCTCTTAACTGTGGGAGGCAAACTCTCCCGTGGTGAGAGGTGTCCTTCGGGCTGCGGGGCAGCAGTGTCCCCACGTCCCCTGGAAGGGGGCTGGAGAGCTGGCTTCTGTGAAAACGCAGAAGGAAACTTCCAGCTTTGACAGAGTGGAGACGACGACAGGTTTGCTGCAAAACAGGCTCTGCCAGGAACCACCTCCGAAGAAAAGCGCGTGCTGGGAGCTGCCTTCCCGGGTCAACGGTGCTCTGCACCGCTGTGTGTTACTGGTGTAACACAAAGTTAACCTGCGAACCCCGCGACAAGCAGTTGTGACACGAAAAGGCAGAGGGCAGCGTGGAAGGCAGCGGCAGGTCCGTTCACACGTCTGCCCGCTGCGCCGTGCCCGGGTGCAGGTGGGGCAACGTGCAGCAGCCGGTTGTTTAACAACACAACCGTTTCTTCATCTTCTGCTTTCGAGATCCAGCTTTTGCTCTCAGGTTTCAGGTGTGTGTGGTCTTACTCTCCCAGAACGCTAGCTGGGACGGAAGAGGGGTTAAACTGTTGGTCACGGTTCCAGGCTTGCTGTCGTGCCCACGGGGTGGGCTCGCGCAGCCTCATGCTTCAGGGAAGGTCTGCGCAGGAGAGGTCACTGCGCGGAGCCAGGCAAAGCGTTTTCCTGAATCCCACACTGAATGAAAGGTGAGAAATGGGAAAAATTGGTCGGTGGTATTAATGAGCGAGCAGTGAAGTGATAAAGTGATTAAATGGACTAAAAGGTAAGTGTGAGCGTGTAGAGGGCAGGAGGCTGTGAAGGAGACGAGGGCACTAGATGCCACGTGAGTTCACTGCTGCTAAATGCAGGCATGGGACGCGAAGCAGTGCGGGCAGGAGAAGAGCTGGCGTGTGTGCAGCGCTGTGACTCCTGCTGGCTGGCTCCACGAGAAACGAGCGTTCCTTGAGTTCCCGTACGGAAATACAGCGACACGAGGCAAGCACAACGCTCGAGTGACAACGGAGTGAGCTGGAGGAAACAGTGCCGCAGCGGGGGCTGGGGGATGCCCAGGAGGGAGCAGGAGATGTGGAGCAGGAGAGCTCAGAGCTACAGGCTGCCTGTGGACAGGGAACCTGGGAGAGTAAATAGATGAGGTTTTAGCAATTTGGAAGGGGGATGATGAAGAGGAGAGTTTTGTTGCCATGGTGACTCATCGGCATAAGCAAGGCCTGGTTTGTAGTGAGGGCTGTCAGATATTTTATTATCCCAGGGATAACGGGAGAAAGTAAACTTGGTTTCACGTAAGCAAGTGCTCCTCCTGGTAAAAATACATAAATCAGACCTAAATACAGGTTGAGAAATTAGTTTAATAAAGGACAAAATGTTTCTTTGGGTGGCAGGAGCAATACAGGCACAGCTGGGAGCAGAGCTTGAGCTCAAGACAGGCTTCCCTGGGCTGGGATCCTGAACCTTGCGGGCACTGGTCCTACCAGCTGCTGGGGTGTGGACTGGATGCGCCGGCTGGGGGGGACATGGTTGGGGGGGGTGTCTCAGCTTGAGGGGCATCACCGAGGTCAGAGTCAGTCCCTGTGAAATTCCAGCGTGTTTCCTGCACCACTTTGCCCTGGCTGGGGTTGGCACGCGCAGGGAGGGGGCTCAGCCGGGGTGGGCCAGCAGATGGAGCCGGCGCTTTCCAGCTCTCCCACCCCCTTAGGGCTGAACTCCCACTGGCACCAACCCTTGGGATAAGCTCCCTCAGCGGCGCTCCCAGCTCTATGTATGGGTGCAAGCGTCCAGCTGGTCTTCAGCTCAGGGTGGGTCTTGCTGAGCTCAGCTCTGCTGAAGGTTTCTCCGGGGGGTGGTCACTGACGGAAAAACACTTCTCACAGCCGTGGGCTGAGGTTTCCGCCGTGCTGCTTGTGCTGGAAGTGCTGTACGTTACCCAGAAAACCACGGTCCTTGCGAGACGGCAGCGTTGTGCTGCTGACCCCATGGCCCCTGCATGGGCTGGGTGTGCTGCGCACTTGCACCCGGACACGCTCCTTGGTGAAGGGAGATGGAGCCAACGGCTCCTTGGTGGTGCCAGCTGATGTGGCAATGCAAAGCAGCCCAAAATTTTGATTTAGGGTGCTCAGAACTGAAAACTGGGATTTTTCCTTTTTTAAGCCAGGAGGGTGGTGCAGCTGCGGCATGA